ATTTTATTTGGATTGTCCATCTATAATTTATACAGTATTTGTATAATTTCTACTGTTTCGCTTTGCAGCATGGCACCCCTATAGACAGGATCGATATTTGACGCGTGATAGGGAGAGAAGTGAAGAGGCTAAAATGCGCAAAACTCCTGGTATGACCATTTGAGGTCAAAACTTACTCCTAGAGCAAGGTCAGATCCAAAAGATCTAAAGGGCAACTACACCCTGGCTAAAACTGCGTTTGTGCTGCCATGTAGTACCTGCTGCACAGCAGCGCATGGTTTACGTTCAGTAAATCACACCTGACCCCCCCATCGCTGGGATGTTGTCTAAACAGCAATGAAAGACGTTGCTTTCAAACCATAGAGGATAGTGCAACAATACACAAGATATAGTGTGTGGTAAACTACGGAGTAGTTGTGGAGAGAGACTGGCTACATTCCATTCCATATAGTGTTTGCTTCTGGACATTGACTCCCTTTGAATCACGGGTGGAACCCCAATACCTCCTAAAGGCATCGGGTCCACGCTTTTCATCACAGTGATGAAAGTTGGTTCTCGTCCTTATTTAATCCCTCGTTGACTTCCTGAGAACCAGAGAGGCTCACTGCAGAGTTCACGGTCAGGGGGCTGACTGAAGGAAAGACATAAAGGGAAGACCACATTCTAATGTTGCTCCATCCATTTTCACACCTGTGCACACCTGGCTGTTTGCTGCAGAGAACAGGCATGGCTGCCAGTCTCTCAGATGGCTTCGTGTACGGTCACATTGTATGCTGAGATCTTTTACCTTTAAGTTTATGGGACAGTAATGCAAAGGAAATGAGCGCCTGTTTTCCTCCTCAGAAGTTAAAGCTGAGAGCTTCAGAGAAGCAGCGAGCTTTGAGTGATCTGGAAAAAAAAGTCAGGAGGTTTTTGTTGGACAGAAAGTGTTTTAGGCTGTTTTCTGTTTTTAATAATTTCTCTCAGGGAGTGTGGGAAGTGAGATGATGTTTTTTATAATGCCCCGAAGTGTTTTTCTTTTTTCATCTTTTTCTTTTGTTTCTTCTGTCTGTGTTTTATCACATCTGTCTTCCATCCATATGCAAATACTCCAAAGTTAACAAAGCAAGACCCGTGTCTTTTTTAGAGGATCGAGGTAGATTAGGTGGAGCTGTGGAGCGGGCTTTTCATTTTGATGTGAATCAGTGGGGGAGACGGAGAGGGAGAAGAGCTCTTTCAACAGCTGTTCTAGGGTTTGCGTCATGCGGCGTGAGCTAGCGTCATGGCTGAGTGTTCGCACGCAATGCACACACACACACACACACACACACACACAGAGGCATGCTGTGGGGACCCCCAGTCGAAGGCATGACCAAACACAGGCATTGTGTTCTCGTGCAGCCCCTGTGTTGCTGAGGAAGAACGTCACCTGTTCTGAGTGATGACAGGCTGCCGGTTCTGCTCGCAGTCTCACGTTTTACTGCACGTCTGCTGCATGACTGCTGCACTGCTGCACTGCTGCACAAAACCACTGCTTTGGTCCTCTTTTAAACTAGTCTGAATTAGAGGAAATGTGCTGTCGTTGTTGTCATTGTTTTATCCATTGCAGCATTAAGCACAGGGCAGTGTAAATGCAATAGATGTGGATTGACAGAGCTTTTTTTAATAGAACACAAAGTTTTTAATTTTGTTTTAAAAATAACTATAAAATCCTGTTACAATTTACAAAATATACATATAATGTTTTTTAGTTGTATAAGCTTTTTAAAAGTTTTTATGCTTTTTAAAAAGAAAATAATAATATAATAATTAATAATAATAATAATTAATAATAATAATAATAATAATAATAATAATTAATAATAATAATAATTAATAATAATGATA